GATGTTGCTAATTGTTGTTTACGTTCAGGATGAGGGAAACACCCAGTAACATGGTGAAAGCTGGATAGATGGTACAATGGTCAAAATTATATAAAATACACACAAATGTGTGACAAGAACAAGTTAAAAACAGATTAAAAATTTTTAGAACATGGAAGCATTACATCGTGAAGTCACTTGATGATTCTACAAAATGGTGGTCATAAAATAATGAGTGAGATGAACCCTTTGACAGAAGGCCGAAGGTTGTCAATGTCTGTGTAGAAAGATGGAACGAATTGTGGGCGTGTGCCACGTTGCCAAATCTCTTCTGATGATGTGATTTTCAGAATGTTATGTAAGAAATTGTTAAACCGACCAGAGGCAGTTGAATTAACTATATTTTAATTAATGGCAAATTAAATTAACAATTATTATTAAATCGTGAGGAGAAAATTATTAGAATTTGAGTCTTATGAAGTTTATTGGTGGAATCGACCAAGAAACAGATTCCATTTATGGTTGTGAAGAGTCAAAATTTGGGGAGATATGTAAGTTCTTCAATTTTTCGCAGTTTAGCAAATATGAGTAAATGACACTCAGTTGCTTAACATCTGTCTTCTTGTTGATACAGTTGTTATTCATGAAAATGTGGGACATTTCCAGGAAATATTTGCTAAACTGCGAAAAATTGGAGAACTTACATATCTCCCCAAATTTTGTCTCTTCACAACCATAAATGGAATCTGTTTCTTGGTCGATTCCACCAATAAACTTCATTCCACTCAAATTCTAATAATTTTCTCCTCACGATTTAATAATAATTGTTAATTTAATTTCCCATTAATTAAAATATAGTTAATTCAACTGCCTGTGGTCGGTTTAACAATTTCTTACATAACATTCTGAAAATCACATCATCTGAAGTGATTTGGCAACGTGTCACACGCCCACAATTCGTTCCATCTTTCTACACAGACATTGACAACCTTCGGCCTTCTGTCGAAGGGTTCATCTCACTCATTATTCCTTGACCACCATTTTGTGCAATCATCAAGTGGCTTCACGATGTAATGCTTTCATGTTCTAAAAATTTTTAATCTGTTTTTAACTTGTTCTTGTCACACATTTGTATGTATTTTATATAATTTTGACCATTGTACCATCTATCCAGCTTTCACCATGTTACTGGGTGTTTCCCTCATCCTGAACGTAAACAACAATTAGCAACATCCTCACATACTACTGTAAGTTAAGTCAATTTAAATTCATTTTACACTATTGTTGCTACTGTTATCAATGTAATTGCAGCTCCTGATGATGATGGCAAAGTCCATTGAAAGCTAGATAGAATAATAAAAAAAAGTATAAAGAGTCCTCTTTGCTTAAATTTTGTCGAAGTACCCAACAAAAGGCGGAAGCTTTAATTTTTCACCTAACTGGTCTAGACGACAATGACCACGTCTCAAGTTATTTATATATATATACACCAGTTAGGTGAAAAATAAAGCTTCCACCTTTAGTTGGGTACTTCGACAAAATTCAAGCAATGTGGACACTTTATACTTTATTAGTCTCTAGCTTTCAATGGACTTTGTCATCTTCATTAGGAGCTGCAATAACATTGAGAAGAAATAGCAACTATTGTGCAAAATGATTTTAAATTAACTTACAATAGTATGTGAGATTGTTGCTAAATTCTATTAACGTTTAAGTTGAGGGAAACATTTAGTAGCCTGGTGAAAGCTGGATACATGGTACATTCGTTAAAATCAATATACACACAGCTTTATGTCAGGAACAAATTAAATTTTAATCCGTTTTAATAAAACTGAGGAGTTGCACTTCATTATTGACTAAGCGATATTTCTTGGTTCTTTTCTAGGAATTCGCAAAATTGCGCGTAATTCAAAAACGGTTCCGTTTTTTTTTACAGTAGTAGTATACGGAGAGATTCAAATTTGGCTGACGTTGTAATGTGTACCGCGTAAGCATACGATATGTATGTTGGACAGAGATAGAAGCACCTGGTTGCCTAGCAACCCGAGTACTAGGTCATGGAAGCCATCGCGTACTCTTTCTAACATACATATCTCACGCTTATCGCTTATCTCGTACGCATTACGATGCCAATGGTAATTGGTTTTCTGTGTATTTGGCTTATTGTATTCCAAATGAAATGTTCGCTGTTTAAGAGGTTAGCATCGGTCTTCCGAACACCCTGTATATAAAAGAATATCACGAACAATCAGCATAAACTTGATAGAAAACCTTAATACAAGTAAGGAGTTAAAGTTTTCCAACTTAAATTCAATTACCTATATGAACCTGTTTGTATGAAGGCACCGAATCGACACCGGTTTAATGCGAACATTTCAATATGTTGAAGGAAAATGGTTATGATTAACGTCAAGGAGTCTTGTGGTGGAACTTATCTTCAGCGTTTATTCTGCAAAGATGGCCACGAGGGTGACCCTCGCCGGTGGGTCAATAGGATTACAGGATTACAGATCTGCCTAATGACGTAGCTGCTACTGCCCTTTGTAATATGACGAGCATACTTCCTGCGGCATGGCGGGTCGTGCATTTTCCGGAAATTGTAACATACAACTTCTTCCCGTCCAAGAGCTTGCAAACGCGTTAAGTAATACCTGAGTCTCGATTGCCGAGTGGAAGGACAAATCCGCCAACAGGCCCCTTAGGTCTGTTTCACATCATCAAAAACAAAAAGATGATCGTGGAAAAGAACCAGTCGAAGACGGTACCACCCGATAGCTGTTTTCAGGGTGTCTTAAAAATTCCACACCTATGCTATGCAGCAGGTTTACTTCTTGTTCCTCTTTGTCTTCTCAATAAAAATGGTGATGGATTTTCGAAGGAAAAAAAACTGTGGATGAGAACTGACTGCATTCTCGGATTGTCCGGGCGTTGTGTATAGACTAGAGGGAACAACATCGTTGTTCAAATCTCCCTCACATACATCTGCGGGATTAACAACAGCATTGATGCTGTTCACCACTATCTGTGTCAAATCCTTTCACCCTGCTCCTTTTGGTCGATCGAAATCTCCGATTCTGTCCCGAATAACCATCTTTGTTTTCCAATCTACGAGGTGCACTCCAATTTGAGAAAGAACGGTGGAGATGTTATTTTTGTCCGCAGTAGTCTTTCCTTCTCCAGAGACATATCTTTGGAGACAGGCCGGAAGGACATTGTGTGACTTCGGTCCAACTCCAAACTGTTTGCTGCCTCTATTGCTTTTCCTCGGACCATAACTGGGATGACCTACTCGCTGTCAAGATCGATTTCCTGAACATCACTTACCCTGCTTCAGACGAAGTTCTGATCGGTGATTTCAATGCTCATAATGAACCCTCTGACTGGGCTCAAACAAGACCGACGCAGCAGGTCTTGCCGTCGAAGCGTTCGACATTACCCAAGGACTGACCCAGTTGCTGACGAGACCTACTTCCTATACATTTTCCCTGGCGTTTCGTCATACGCGAATAGTCTGTCGGATCTATTTCTGACCACGCATCTGTGCGTTACCGGACCTCTCTCTCCTGGGTAACTGATTTTTAGACTTTAGATCACTGGTCGCCAACCCGTCGATCGCGAGCTACCGGTAGCTCGCAAAGGCATTTCAGGTGGCTCACAACATATTTTAAAAAGGTGTCAAAATCATAGAAGCTTCCGTAAATTTTGTAAATTCTCATAATAAACACAAGCAGCGGCTTCACTGCTGTGAGCGATCTGTTCGAGAACGATCTCGATTACTTTGAACGGAACAAATATATATGCAAGGCACGGCGACATTGCGCTCAGTTTAAAACTGAACAGCACAAAGCCCAGCGGATGGGTTAGAGTTGGAATTCAATTAAAAACAATATTAGCAGTAGTAAGAAGATGAAGACATACTATTTCCATTGGGAATGGGAAGAACAATATTTCTTTACAGAAGTTAAAGGTAATGTAATACATCTGTTTCCGTTGCTTGAAAAGGAAATGTCGAGCGGCAGTATAAAACTGTACATTCGAATTTTGAAAAATCATTCCCGCTATGTTCTGCAACCAAAACGGAAAAAATGAAACAATAAAAAAATCAGTTAATTGGACAACAGACAATGTTTTTAAATACAATCGACAAAAGTAAGGCTGCAACTGAAGTATCATACCGGGTGTCGTAGATGATTACACAAAAGAAGAAATCTTATGAAGATGGGGAAATGATAAAACAGGCGTTTTTAGGAGCTGCAGATTCATTATTTGCCAACTTGAGAAATAAAGACGAGATAGTGTCTGCTGTAAAATCAATGCAACTTTCTGCTAATACAGTGATGAGACAAGTAGAAGTAACGAGCAATTATATAGTTTTACAGTTAACTGTGCTTATTTTTCACTGCAGCTGGATGAGTCCACAGATGTCGTTGCCACCTCTCAAATGGCCGTGATCGTCAGGATGTTTTTTTAGTGATTTTACGATTAAAGATCTTTTGAAGTTTATTCCACTAAAAGGACATACTACTGGTAAGGGCTTGTTTTCTTCTATTAAAAATATTATTTCTTCTGAGAAAATTCCAATATTGAAAATGGCAGGCGCTCAAGCTATGGCGGGTCGTGATAAGGGTCTCGTGGGGTTATGTCGTGAAGATGAAAGTTTTCCGCAATTTTTTTATTGCTACTGCATTATCCATCAGCCAGCATTATGTGAACATTTTCTAAAACTAAATATCGTTATGAAATTGGTAGTCAAAATTGTGAACAAGATTAGAGCTCAAGCGTTACAAAGAAGATTATTCAAAACTATGGCCGATGAAATTGAGTATCAATACTAGGAACTACTTTTTCACTCTGAAGTCCGATGGTTAAGTAGGGGACGAGTGCTGAAACGTTTTAATGATATCATATCTGCCATAGTTCAATTTTTCAAACAACGTGATGTACTGATTCCGGAGCTGGAAAATTCAGTCTGATTTAGAGATTTTGGTTTTCTTGTGGATATTACGGAAAAATTAAATGAACTTGATTTGCAGCTTCAGGGGAGAGACAAAGAACTAGCAGAAATGATTTCTGATATAAAAGCGTTCATCAGAAAGATTGAGCTTTGGGAACAAAACCTAACCGATGGCGATACCAGGCATTTTCCTGTTCTTTCAGAAAATATATCTCAAAATCCATTAGAACCATATGACAGTAAATATCATGTAGAAATAGTCTCTAACTTGCAGGATAACTTCAATAATCGTTTCAAGGATTTCAACGAAATTGCTATAGTGGCGCAACTTGTTGTTTCACCCTTCATGGATAGTGATATCCAACAGTTTGCAGCTTCTTTAACGCAGAATTTTAGCGAGGGTATCGCTGCGACAGAAATGGAAGTGATTGAGTTTCAAAATGATTTAGCTTTGAAATCTTTAGTCTCAAATACAAAATGTATCTGGCCTCCAGTAAGTGAAGATAAATATTTAGTTTTATGTCGTGTTGCCTTGAAAGTGAAATAGTTATTTAGTTTAGCCTATTTTTGTGAATCTTCTTTTTCAAATATGAAGTTTATTAAAAACAAGTCCCGTAATCGACTTGCAGATCAACATTTGGATAATTGTATTCGTTTGGCGGTATAAAATTATACTCAAAACATCAAAAAAATTGTCAGTGAGTCTAAGTGTCTAGCTTCTCATTGAACACGCACTTTTTATCTGCACATCTTTTGTGTAAAATAGTGCGTGGTTTTTTTTATTCTCAGTTACCTTTATTAAATCGTATGTGACATGCCACTGCAGCAGACCAAAAGTTGTGTTTATTTTTCAAACATCTAAGATTAGTAGGAATGGATGTAGTTATGCAGTTTGTATTAGTTATTAGTTTAAGTTTATTAGTATGTATTATTATGAGTAAAATTACCACATGTATGTCGCACACATCTGTGTATACTCTCATTGAAGTTGGCTTACATTGCTTACGACTAGGTAGCTCAAAATTATCAAAGTAACTCAACACACTAAAAACTTTGGCGACCACTGCTTTAGATAGTGGATAAATTACAAGTTGGTGTTCATAAATTGATCGGTGACAATAATATCAATGAACGTGTTCAGCCAACGTAGAGCCTTCCAGCGGTGCAGCGCTTTTATGATGAATAGCAGTAGCCATGGGATAGCGTTGTCAGTTTGACAGCAGTTTTCACTTGGCTGTCAATATTTGATAGTTTGTCGACTGAATCTTGCGAGCTGTCAAATCTACCCCACGGCTATTGCTATTCAGCATAAAAGCGCTGCATCGCTGGACCGCTTTACATTGGCTGAACGCTCTGTCTGACGGTCGAAACTGGGTATCGTCGCATCTCGTTTGTCAATGTATGCTTTTTTTAAAAAAAGCAATACACAAATATATTATTCCGGAGCTTCTGTCTTGTCAGGCCAATTAAGTAGAAAGAAGTAAACAAACTCTGCGACCTTAGCAAGGTGACCAAATCTGGTTTTTCGACACCGGATTCGCGGAGGTGTATTTTTAAACGCTGCGACACAGACTGTAAACAGGGTGAATGGAACAGGTTTGGGATTATTGACTTTCACTGAAATCTGCTTAAATTCGGAGAATGACTCTTCAGTATTGAGATCATGATATGCCGAAATATATTTCTACTTAACTAACTAATTTAATAGTAGTAAGCAAACATTTCTCAAAGGTTTACCAGTTCATTCCTGAGTACCCTATTGTTTCTTTTTTTGGCGATAAAGCCCATTTTCATTTGTATAGATCCGTCAACAAACAAATTATGCGCTACTGGGGTGAAATCATTCTTCACGAATTGTCAAAGGCCTTTGCATTCACCTAAAAAAAACAGTGTGTTGCTCAATTTCCTCATATGTAATTATTGGTCCCTGGTTCTCTGAGGAAAATGAAGTCGCAGTGACGGCGAACTCGGACCGGTATGAATTTTTTTTGAGAGAGCGCCTCACGTCAATCAGAGACGATTTGGAATGAGCCAGGAGTGATATCCTGTGTTTATGTGACCCATCCAAGTAACCTTCAAGATTTGAAGTCCAACATCAAGGAAGAAACAGCCCTGAAAAACGCCAGAAATCGGTTTACTGTACGGAGAATGGGGGATGTCGCCTATCTGATTTGATCTTCAAAACTATGTAAAACAAAACCTTAGGCATCTTCTGTCAATTAGTTTTCTTGTTTTGGAAAAAGGAAGATATGTTGTCGCACCCTGTACATAATGAAAAACTCTTTTACTCAATCCTGTCGAATAGTCTGTCGCTCCATTTGTCTGTCCATTAATTATTGACCCCCATAACTTGTAAAATACCGATCGAATGTTGGTGAAATTTTGACACAAAGTTACGATCACGCCAAGGACGAAAATGCTTTATAGTTATTGAAAATCGATCTATTGGCAGCAGAGCTACAGACAAAAATGGAAACAATAAAAATTCCTCAATCTTCTTTTTTTGGCGATTCAGAGGCTCCTAATCACTTTCATAAAATTATCTGTATGAGTTAAAAATGAGGGGTTAGAGATTGAAGAGGCTGGTGGGGAAGGGCATGTCTCAATTTTGTTTAGTGTTATTATGCGCTTCCAACCCCAGTAATTATACGGACCTATTGACGTATTTCACACAACATAGACTTGATAGATGGCTAGCTAGCATTGGAGTGAAGAACCTTTCCGGCCCTTGCTGCAGGTTATAGGATTTCCTGAGAATTTGTGTGTACGAAATCTTAGGAATAATTACGAGGAGATTGAGGGGTGATGTTTCCCTTAAGAGTAAGCATTTTTTTTTAATTATCACTTCTGAGGAAATGACTGCGATATTACTTATCATGGCTGGAAATTATATGTGATAGTACAAAGCATCTTCTTTGACATCCATTTGTTTTACTTTCGTAGTCATATCAAGATCATGGGTGTATAAATCCACAAGTACTTCTGCGGGTATGCTGTGAACACTCTGTATCAAGGTTTTTCTTTCTAAGCAACGCCAGTTAAACAACATGTTGAATTCCATTTTATCACTGGCAATTTAACGCACGCCATTATCGTTTTCTTCTGAATGACGTTCGCGGCAAAGCTGAAAGATAAGCCGCACATCTCTTGTGGTTGAAACACCTGGCCGCAGTACATCCAAGAAACCAATTAAATTTGTTAAACAAACCCGTAATGGACGTAATTAGAATGTATATACTTTCCACAATCAATACACAAACTCCCATTCAACAATTAACTTAATGCAACTGCTCAACATAACTGGCGGATCGAGTAACTTTTGCAGTAACATTATCTTTTAAGACTTGCGATTTGCATACGTTTTAAATCTTGCTTTAATGTGGAGGCATGTTGTTTTGGTGCTAGAGGATTTTTACCTAACGCGTTTGATAAGAAACATCATATTTTATGTTTACAAGGAGCTTAAAAGTTAAGAAGCTTCACTATCGTCTAAATATTTCCAAATAATTCCAAAAATTTTAAAATTTTTAGTAGCTATATAAAAACTTGTTTTTATATCAGTATTTTTATAATTTACTTTTTAGCAATTAAGATGTCTAGATAAATAGTTTGGTAATTTCTATAAAATTTGTTTATATTTAAATAATGGGACTCCACAAAGCCCCTTACTTTATTTGTATTATAAAATACTGGACTTTTTTCATAAAAATATAAATTGGCATTTTTTGCGGCCGCCATATTGTATTCAGCATAACCTCACTTTGGCCGTGTTTCTCCCAACACGCCGTTTCATTTGGTACCCATATTATAGGGGTCACTACGGAAATGATGAGTCGTCATTTTCTAACATCCTCCAAATTTGATTTAAAATTGCAGCAGTTAATTTGTTTGGAATTGTCATCCGAACTAAACGTATTTACAAAATTTCAATTCAGTTGGTTGAAGCTAACTGGTTCAAAATTCAGTTACAAGATTTGTCTCACACATACATACACATACTACAAAACAAGTTATGTTAAATTAAGGGCCAATTTCACCAACAACAGTACGTTATTCTCCACCTATAGGGTAACAGAGCGTCAAATACAACGAATGAGCTTCAAGTTCCAATCAACAAATTTTAGCAACCAATAGCTATGAAATGTTGAAAAAAAATACTGTCATAGTATGAGATGACAGCTTGTCATTGAAACATCACCAGCTTATTGAATATTAAGAAATTAAATATAATTCAGTCAAAATTTAAAGAAATGTTGGATTCTTGAATGAAATTCATGTTTTAATTACTATTGTTGATTTTTTATTCATGTTTATATTATTTTCTTCAATTGATATGCGATACTGGGTGTTTTTTCCTATAAACCACTTGCAGATAGCCATTAAGCACCTACTTGATGACAGGCTCTACCAAAAGATATTGCTCGTTTACAAACATTCATACATTTACTTGCCGTTCATCAGAACCACTATGGCACCTTAGATTGATATTCCCTCAAAACCATTCAGGTTTTTTGATATCCATACATCCATAAAGTTGAACATTTTTCGTTGTTCAGGAACTGAACAAACATCCACACTATATTCACAGCGACTAAGAAATTCCCAAATATATGCCTTAAAGCTACCAGCAAACCTAAAACCTGCAAAAAAACAACAAATTTGCCATATTTTCCTTTTTTCACGAGTAAACATTCTAGGTTATATTTATGTTAGACATTATTTGAATACAGCTGATTATTGCATTTCAAGGAGTGACACATGTGTGGGATCTGTCAACTCTTGGTACCAGTCACAAAACCTATACTCCGAAGGTTTAATTTCATGCTATTCAATGACAACACGGGGGCTTGTGTGGTTGTCAGCGGCCATTTTGTGAACGTGCGACAGGGTTGCCAGATTGTGCATTAATATCCCGTTTCACCCTCCTGGTCCCAGTGGAGTAAGTTCCGCCAACTGTTGAAATATACTCTACTATGCTTTATGAGACTATTCGTGACATTTTTCCCAAAATCATTGCACAACACTTGAAAAAATGAAAATGAAAATTTAAAATTATTTCCATGACGCCACAAAATAGCTCCGTCGGTACCTCGGGCTATACATCTTGACAGTAGGGATGTTCGATACGATCCTATATTTAGAAGTATCAATACATTTCACGAGTATCGTCATTTTTCGATCCGGAATGTGTCAGAAAGAGTGACTGCCATTTGGCTGCCACATTACCCTGCCAAATCAAACATATCTTTCATCATTTTCAAAGAAATTGTACAAAATCTTCAAATTTGTGAAGTTAGCGAGTTTCACTTTCATACGTTGTTACCAGACATGCCCAAATCATCAGTAGCTGCCGTGATATTCATCCCGGCCACTGCATCCCCACGGCTAGGCGACCTGTATGTTAAATTTGTATTGATAGGGCAGCGGGTTATGCTATAAATCATATGTCACAGTGTTTGTGCACTGATTGCAACGGTTAGATGATACCAAAAATATTTTCATAAATAGGAGATCTCTCCCATTCCGGATCGAACAATCCACCAAAGATGCTTATAATCATGATACCCAGTAAATTTACATGAATAATCCTCTGTATGTAGGTATATAAGAGCTTTCTTATATTTGTTCATCAATTTGATGATACAACACAACTGCTAAAAATGATCATAATCAGGATATAAACTATGATGAAGGTCCACCGTATGTAAGAATTTTCAGATACTTCATTTGCAATTTGACAACAGACCATGACGGTGTTCACATTTTTCAAATATTCTTCAAGAAGTGTTATCAGTCTAGCTCCAACTATCATAAGTACTATGTTTGTATTCCTACTTTAAATTCAAAGGCAGCAAATGTAAAAGATTC